CACTTGAATATTTGTCAGAGTCTGTCTGCAGGCAGCCTGGGGTCCCAGAGTCATCCTCGTGGATGAAGCTAGGATTTGACCTAGTCAGTGGTTCTCAAATTAGAGGGTATACCAGAATCCCCTGAAGGCATGTGAAAACAGAGTTTCTGATTCCGTAGCAGCTGGGGCAGCTCCCAGAGAATTTACTCTTCTAACAAGTTCTCAGGTGATGTTGCTCCTTCTGGTCTGGGGACCACTTGAGAACCATTGACCCAGAGTCATTTCCGGTGTGGGAAACGAGATTTGTACATCAGACAGGACGTTGCAATGACAGAATTCTCTCTCAGATAATCTCACAATATCTGTAGGTTAATGATCTTTCCCAAATAACGAAACTTGCCAAGAGCAGATGGGTTTTCCTGGGCATTTCAGTCCAACAACCACTTTCTGTCTTCCCTGTGGGTAGATGACTGACTCTCACCCACTACAAACAAAAGTCCAGAAGTAAAACAAGATAATTTTCAATCCCTTGACTATCATAAAGTTGTTACAGGCCTTAACCTATATCCAAATGGGATCTTTTTTGCTGGTGCCAAAAAAGCTTATTAGGGATGACTGACCCTTAGTAACTTTGCTATATACATCCCATTTGAATCATTGCATTTCTTGGTTTTCAAGAAAACCTGTTTTTTCCCAAGCCTCATTTACCTTTAAGTTTTTTATGTTTTAGAGGCAATCAAACAAACGTATTGCAAAATGATTTTCACTTACATTATTAAAGCATTGCTCTTGAAACAAAAATATTATATAATCTCATATGATTTTACTAAACGCATCTCTAAAAGAAGGAGCATTGAATTTTTTTAAACTTTTTAAAAAGACTTTCTTTATTTACTTGACAGAAAGAGAGAGAGCACTAGTAAACAGAGCGGCAGGCAGAGGGAGAGAGAGAAACAGGCCCTCTGCTGAGCAAGAGCCTGATGCGGAGCTCGATCCCAGGACCCTGGAATCATGACCTGAGCTGAAGGCAGTTGCTTAACAAACTGAGCCACCGAGGCACCCCTGAGCATTGAATTTTATAGTGTGTATCTATGTGTGTGTGTTTGCCTATTTCTGTTTTATTTTTAGAGGGAGATTTTCTGAGTTTAACTCATACAGTATTCAGTTGCATTTCCCAGATGTTTACAGAGAAGCAATTCTTTAATAACTAGGTCTAATTTTTCAGTCAATTAAAGATTTTAGATTCAAAAAGGATCTTAGAAATGATCTAGTTCAGAAGTCAGCAGACTTTCTATGTAAAGGGCTGGATAGTAAGCAGTTTCACTTCTGCAGGTGTGATGTTATGATATAATAAGAAATATATTTTGGTCTTCATTTCCAGCTCCCGGCCAGAGCTCCTAAACCTTATTATAACTCCCTAAGCAATACAGGTGCTAGGATCATCCTTTGTTCTAATATTTGCTCTGACCCTGGTTCCTGATACAGAGCCCCTACATTCCTTGGGTTTTCCTGGGTGATAGGGGCATTGCTTATTCTGATAAGGCAATTCTAATGAGGTGGCTTCCGGATAGCTTCAGGATGGGGGAAGGTCACCAGAAAGGGCACACCGTGATCAGAAGCTTGAAACTTTCAGCCCTATTCCCCCATCCTCCAGGGAAGGGAGAGGGGCCGGAGACCGAGTTAATAGTTGGTCATACTTACTGATGAAGTCTCTATAATGCTCCTTGACCTATGGGGTTTGGAGAGCTGCCAAGCCTCTGAACATGTTGAGGTGCTTGGAGGGTGGTGTGCTGAGAAAGGACACGGAAAAGGACCCTTGTCCTGTGCATCTCTTCCATCTGTCTAATTCTATCTTGCATTTAAAAAAAAAAATAAACCTATACATGGCCTGGTAAATCAACTGTTTTCTGGAGTTCTGTGAGCCATTCTAGCAGATTATCGAACCTTTAGATGGAATTAGAGAATTCTCTGGTGTATAGTCAGTCACTCAGCATAGGTGACACGCCGAACTTGTGATTGGTGTCTGAAGTGGGGCAATCTTGTGGGACTGAGTCCTGGACAGTCAGTATCAGAACTGAGTGAAATGGTAGGGCATCCAGCTTAGGTCCACAGAGAACCGGGGCATTGTTTGGAATGGGGGTAAACCCCACACGTCTGTGTTAGAAGCATGTGGGTAGAGTGTAGGGAAAAAGGAGTTCGCATTCAGCAGGCCATGTGGTCTCTGTGCCAACCATTCAACTTCCCCGTTTTAGTGCCAGACACAGAGAATACATAAATGAATGCAGCTGTGTTCTAAAAAATCTTTATTTACAAAAGCAGCTTGTGGTCCAGATTTGTCTCATGGGCCATAATGTGATAATCATTGACTTTGTTCATTTCCTCAGTTTATCTGTGAGGAAACCGAGGCCTGACAAGATAAGCAACTGGCTCAGCTCACCCATCCGGGACTTGGCAAGGCAAAATCTAATATTAAGGTGTGAATCCCAGACGTGTGTCTGGACCACAAATCCATGTGGCACACCAGGGATACCCTGTACCCATGTTCTGCATCTGGTCCAGTTGTGCATCAAAAATTATATTCCCGGGGCACCTGGGTGGCTCAGTCAGTTGAGGGTCTGCCTTCAGCACAGGTCATGATCCTGGGTCCTGGGATCAAGTCCCGCATCCGGCTCTTTGCTCCGTGGGGATCGTGCTTCTCCCTCTGCCTGCCACTCCCCCTGCTTGTGCTCACACATGTGCTCTTTTTCTCTGACAAATAAATAAATAAAATCATTTATTTTATGAATAGTGCATGAAAATGAATTTTATTCATTTATTTATTTATTTTATTCATTTATTTGTAAATCATTTATTATATTCCTTCGGCTGCCCCTGCTGCAAACACAGTATGAGAACAAGGGTTCCTAGTGTGTCTTTGGTGTTTTCCTCATCACTTAGCTATAAAAATATCTCAAATGGCTTTAAGAAGCTTATACATTAGTGAGAGTAAAGAAAACATACTTCTAAAAGGTTGAATTTTTTAAATTTTACATAGGCTGGTGGGTTAAATGATGGCACCATTCTAAAGAGGCCAAAGATGAAGGGTTGACTCTTGGTCTGACACAGAGAAGAGCTAGTCCAAGACCACAGATGGCACAGGCCACCCGACCGAGCATTTGTCATATGTGTTCTGCGAGCTCACAAGGCTTCAGGGGAAGAGAAGATGCGGTCCAGAGCAAAGCCCTCCTGCGGCGGGAGGGACTCCAAATTAACGTTTCTGAAGATTAGAAGCAGTCTCTCATCTCATCAATTTATCTTATTATTTAACCATTCTTGCTGCTTACGCCCTGAATCTTTTACAAGGCAATGACCCATATCCTTCCCCGAAGTACCGCTGCCTTTTGGGAAAATGATGAACTTTGGGGCCTGACTTCAAGAACTCTTGAGGCAAAGAATCCAAAAGCTGCAAAGGTTTTGTTGGGTTTCCAAGCCAGAGAACTGTTCCATCTTCTTACACATGTTTTTTGGGGGGCACTTCTTGGGTTTGAGCACAACAACACTCAGGTCATCTCACTGTGTGTGTCTAGGTGTGAGCATGTGTGCGTGTGCTGCGTGTGGAGGTGTGTTGGGAGGGAGTTTATGAGGATCCATATGGTCTGAAGCCACACCTGCGGATTTCAGGATCTGGGACGAGATTAGGCACCTGCCCCTCTTCATGGTCTTGCTGCGCTCCGTCTACATTTTTCACGTTTCTTCTTCTTTTTTTTTTTTTTTTTTCCACGTTTCTTCTTTTTTCTTGTGACCTACCAGTTAGTCAGTTTTCCTGACGGACTGTTCTCTATCTCAGTTTAAACAGGAGCCAATTCCATTTGGTTGCTAAGTAGCATTACTCCCACTGATAGAAGCTTTCCTTCTAGGCAGCCTGATGTGTCACCAGGAAGCCTTTGGACAGATCACCCTGGGACAGATGCCCACCTCCGTTCCTACTGGGGGCCCCTCTGCCCCAAAAAACAGGCTCATGTTGCTGCCCTAAGTGGGAGGGTATTGTCTAGTTGAATAACTTCTCAAACTTGTACTGTATTTCTCTATATTTTATTCTAAAAGAAATTCACATTTTTTGGAAAAATATTTTAAAATATGTGAACTTAAGGAAGAAAACAAAAGTCATAATCCATCACCTACCTATAACACCTATTAATTGTTGGTCATTTTCAAGTCTTCCTTATGCGTAATTTCATATTCCATTGATAAAAATAATAACTGTCTAACTTTATGTATTGTTTAACATTAAGTTCTAGTTTTCCCTGTGTGTGTAAATATTCTTCAAGCAGTGATTGTAATTAGGCGCAGTATAAATTACAAGGTAGATATACTATATTTACTTAACCAATAGTGGACATTTAGGTGGTTTCATCTCTGCTAAAATTTGTCAGCATTTAAGGTCAATTTGTTAAAACAAATTCTAACCCTGTAGACTTACAGGGTTAAAATCCGATTTTTAGGGGTGCCTGTGTGGCTCAGTGGGTTAAAGCCTCTGCCTTCAGCTCAGGTCTTGATCTCAGGGTCCTGGGATCGAGCCCCGCATCAGGCTCTCTCTTCAGTGGGGAGCCTGCTTCCACCCCCCACCCGCCTGCCTGACTCTCTGCCTACTTGTGATCTCTGTCTGTCAAATTTAAAAAAAAAAAAAGAAAAAAGAATGAGATTTTTAAAAACGTTTTTAATCTATATAGTCAAGTGGTTTCTAATCTATAAAGTCAAATGGTTGCTTCAACTTTCACTTTCCCCAGCCATATAAGGAGAGCCCGCTAGTCCACACTTTCACAACATTGAATGACTGCTTTAAAAAATGAGGCTCGCTGTGTTAGAAAACGTGCTTTATTAGTTTATTTATTGCTAATTATTTATCATATCAGTTACTCAGCTATTGTTGCTGCATGGAAGCAGTTGAGAGCCCAGGCGTTCCTAGGCAGGAAGATGAAACCCTTGGCTTCAATTTTCACCAGTTGATATGCTAATCCAGTGAATATCTGTGTCTCCTGTAGCCTTCCTACACTGAATTTGACATCAGCGGCAATGTCCTCGCTCTGATCTTCAACCAAGGCATGATCTGGTAGGTCAGCGGTTGGACAGTGTTAGCACTTGTAGAAAAGCCTCAAAGATCATTATTGCATAAGGCACTGCAGCCTGGTGTCCGAGAAGTCCTCAGTCTGGGTCTAAGTCAACAGCTGCCTTTGCAAAGTGGATTGCTAGGAAAAGCTAATGTGTGTGTGTGTGTGTGTGTGTGTGTGTGTGTGTGTGTGTGTATAATGTGCTATATTATATATATCATTGTGCATATGGTAGTATATATAGTATATATGTTGCATATATATGTATATATGTCTTGGAATATATAGAATATATTGTATATTATGCATATTATATATACTATAGAATATAGAAAAATACAAAATACATATATATATTTTTTTCATATCTTAACTCTTGATCCTCAAAGGCACCTGCCTGTTTTGCAGAGCGTTCCTTTATCAAATACTGAGAGTCTGTTTCTGCTTTGTAGATTATTTGAAGGCTTTTTCTGCTTTTATATCCTCTGACACCAGGGTCTAACCGTAAAACATTAATGATCCCATAACTGCATGTTAAGGATGAAACAAATTAATGGAAGGCTCTTCTGAGAAACTGATGTTGTTTTGTCATTATTGAGTATATTTAGAATACAACTCGTTGCTACTTTTAAAAATACTGTGTTACCAAATCCGGTAGTTCGTGGAGATGAAACACATCTTTTCGGAAGGTCAAGCTAAAAATACGATCTTTATTTTGTAACTTGTTTCACAGGCCATTTGCACGTCAGAATTATGTCTTTTGATGTACAAAGGACTGTCATATCTTTTATTAAATGAAAGCATTCTCACTGTCAGCCTTGACAGGTTAAGATGAGCGGATACAGTAGAATTGTTTTGGAGTTTAAAAAATTGAATCACAGTATGTGACTCATCTGGGGACCATGTGGTCTTGGAAATCTGTCACTCTTAACTAAGAACACCCAACCCACAGACAGTTACACTTGAGCTTCTTTATCCTACTGACACGTTTACTATCACAGTGTGCCACTGACCACACCATTGTCCCATGTACAAGGACCAATAACTGTACAAGTTTTGCACAAGCTTCATATATTACTGAAATCCTTCAGTCATAGCTGGATTGAATCATTAAACCATTGCAAGACTGGACCTCTCTGCAAATGTTAAAATTATCTTGCTTCAGTAATATTAAGACTAACCAAGGGCCCCATCGTCCTGCCATGGGAAGCTCCTGTGCCTCCCTAGGTCAATACATATGAAGGGAAGGCTGTAAAAAGATGATCTTCTCCATTATCAGGTATGTTTAAAAATTTAATTCCCGTCCTCTCACTTCTTAAATTTTGCAAGTTATGGCTCATGTGTCCAGAGATAAAGAGTGAAATGCATCTTCCATTCTCCAAGCAGGGAGGCAAGTCAAGGTGGCCCAAACTAGGACCACTGGCAGAGAGCGTAAAGGGAGCAGCTTCTGTAAGTTCTGCATCTTTCCTTTTCTGGAGGGGATTATGCAGTTACAACAGAAAAATGGCTAACATGACACCTGGAACAATGAGAAACCATCACCTTGGATCAGTTTTAAAACTCCCTGGCTGTTACAGAGTGCCACAAATCCCTCAGACCTGGCAGGTGCCATTTGTGTAGACGTCTGCTGCATGTCTGTTTCTCTCGCTAAGACAACAGATTGGCCTAGCAATTTATTTTCATGATCGGAAAAGCTGTTGTGATGGCTGTCCAGATGAGTTTCACTTATAATTTTGCAGCTCTGTGGTCCACTATTGTTCATGTTGAGATTCTTAAATATCTACAGACCCTCCCCCATTTTCTCATGGGCAGACCCATTATCGAAATCTCTCCACTATCACTACACTATCCCTTTCTATGTATTCATCCTTTAGGTATTGGTCAAGTCTTGTTAGTCTGTTAGACTTCTTGTTAGTCTGAAGAAGACATTAGAAAGTGATGGTGTTTTTTTGAGTGTACAGAGATAATCATACACTTACCAGAGTTTCAGAAGCAAAAGAACTATTATTTGGACCTTTGGGTCCACCCTTGGTACAGATGGTCTTTTCTCATCTCCCAGGAAGCTAGTGAAGGATGGGGATGTGGTGTGGTGGGCGAAGTGTGGAGACTGTGTGTTCGAAGTGCCATAGGGTCCCCTGTACCAGGGGACTCACGCCTGGCAAGCTGCTATTCTACAAGGCACGAGAAACCGATACTTGAGTTTGGCCATACAGAAAGACCCAATTCCCTTAGTTTGTGACTGGAGACATTCAGCTGTTGCTTTGTGGGTTTCTAATTAATGGAGGTTATTTACACTGATGCTATCAAAGTGAAACTTTATAGGTAAAATCCTGTTTGTCATGAAATGGGCTGAAATGACCAGTCAACCTTCATATGACACACTTAATTTAAAAATGGACAGCATAGGTTTTGCAATCCTATTTTAAAATGATGAACACATATCATATCTCCCTCGTAGCAGGGTGTAGAGGCAGCAGAGAACACGGTAAGAGGGAAGATGGGTTTGGACATTGCTCCAGCACTGTCTCTCTGTGTACCCTTTCACTAGTGTTGTCACCGTCTGCTACCTCATTTTCTTAGTTGATCGAATGTGAATAATTTACCTGACGTGTACCATGTCACCGGAGTAATAAGGAGAGCTCAGTAAAAGAAGCTTTCATTTGCTTTGATCTTCTTGGAAGAAAAGCATTTTATAAAGCTGAGGTATTCCAATGATCTTTAACTGACAGATGATGGGCTCAAGTCTGGGGAAGGGGCTTAGTGAGCCGAGCTGATTAGTGAGTCAAAGACAGGATGAGCAGGAGGGTGCAGGTATCAGTGTGCTGTTTTTCTAGGTTATGGTTCTTGAGCCATTTCTTCAATATTATTTTGAAAATCTGAACTTTATTTGTAGATGCACATATACAGGTATGTGCGTGTGCATGTATCCAGCTGAAGGAAGCAGGTACACATAGAGGTACAAATAGATGCGGCTTTAGGTAAGTCTGCATCTTAAACGATGTACAGAATTGTGTCCGGGGATAAATTAGCTTATGCAGCAGTTCAGCAGAACCCCAAATCTCAGTGGCTTCCAAAGGGAAGCGTTTACTTCCTGTTTTCTCTACATGCCCAGTGTGGGTTGGTAGAGGGCTCTGCCCTTGCAAGTTACTTTCACCATGGATTCCTAGACTGGCAGAATCGGGTCCATCTGGAACATCACTGGACAGGAGAGCAGAGAGATGAGAACAGAATCCACACAAGGCTTTCAGTGTCTCTAGTAGTGAGACACCCCATTATAATTACCAATTCATTGGCCAAAACAAATCCCATGGCCAAGCCTGCCTTTTAGAAGGGAACAAGTATAATGATTCACAAGTATCTCACATCACTAATACTGGCATTTGAGGATACAGTGGAGCACTATGTAATTCTGGTCCCATTCTTGAGGCTTGAGGATCCTCTTGCTCTCCTATAATAAAGATACCCTGTGCTGTTCCAAAGTCTATCTTCTTACCTTTTTTTAATTCATAAATTTTCTATTTTAGAGCAGTGTTGGGTTCACAGACAAACTGAGTGGAGAGTACAGAGCGTTCCCATTCGTCCCCATCCCCCGATACGCACAGCCTCCCCTACTATCGACTCCCCAGATCACAGTGGTACATGTATTATAGCTGATGAACCTGCATGGCTAGATCAGCATCTGAAGTTTGTACCATTAAAAGAAAAAAATCATTTAGCTTCCTTCAGAGTCTCTGGTCCATTCAGTATGTTTTTGTTTGTTTTTTAAAGATTTTATTTCTTTATTTGACAGACAGAGATCACAAGTAGGCAGAGAGGCAGGCAGAGAGAGGGGGGGAGGCAGGCTCCCCGCTGAGCAGAGAGGCTGATGCGGGGCTTGATCCCAGGACCCTGAGATCATGAGCTGAAGGCAAAGACTTAACCCACTGAGCCACCCAGGTGCCCCATCCATTCAGTATGTTAAACTATCATTTAGATCTGTTGTATGAAATCCTACCAACAAGACGATCTAAATTTCAGCAAGATTCCAATTTTTAATGAAATCGTTTAATGCTAGTTTGAATCATTTCAGTTACAGAAATAGCAGAAAACAATTTCTTCATCTAACTCACCCCTTGTCTCCTATCCATCCCCCCCCCATATTTATACCAAATTTGTGATGGATTAGTTAAAGCAGCTACATATCCAGGAAATATAAAATGCTGAGCCTAACCAGAAGTGCCTAGGGCTTTATTACAGCTGGGACAGTTTGAAAGACAGGACTCTGCTTATTCTTCTAAAATAAGTGCACATCTATCCTCTTTTTGGTTTTGGATCAATGCTTTGCTATTAATACGGTTTTATGATGCTAATAGATTTTCTCATCAAAGAAAATTCAAATTTATTTTGTTGAAATAAATCACCAACTGAACCAGCAAGTAAAAGTGACCTCACCTGAATGCTTCCTATTTAAAAGTGGCATTTAAAGATAGTTTCTAAAAATCAGATGCACAAAGCAGTGAAATTCTAGGACAAAAATTCTTTCTGAAGTAAGAAAGTAAACAGATTAAATTAAATTAAATTAAATTAATGTGTTGAATTTTCATCTCAAACACCTAAAGATTCCTATAGACTATTAAGAAAACACTGTCTGTTATTGGGCATAAATACATCAGCTCTAAAACACCATAATAGCTACATGGCTAATAGAGAATAGCATCAGAAAAAGATAAATTTATTTGAATTTTTTCTCTTCCATTAAGCAAAAATTAATTAGCCATGAGAAAAATAATCTAGATGTACAGTTTATTTGAATAGAGTGAGTGCTTTCAGGGGCAGTTAAAGAGAAGTTAAATTTCTGAATTTATTAATCAATGATTTGAGTATTAGGGGAAATCTGAGAAGTAGAAGAGAGAACTTAATACATGTGATACAGGGGTGCCTGGGTGGCTCAGTGGGTTAAAGCCTCCACCTTCAACTCAGGTCATGATCTCAGGGTCTTGGGATCGACCCCCGCATCGGGCTTTCTGCGCAGCAGGGAGCCCACTTCCCTCTCTCTCTGCCTGCCTCTTTGCCTGCTTGTGATCTCTGTCAAATAAACAAAATCTTTTAAAAAAATTAAAAAAAATACATGTGATACATTGTTTTCTCTGGTGTAGTTTAAGTTTATTAATGAGAGCAGATACCATTAGTCAACGGCATAATTGCCATGCGAGAATCCCATAGGCAATTCCTGGATAATGGGGAGATGGTAAAATGTGCACAGAAGATGGAAATTGACCAGTCAAGTTTATTTATAAAAACGGGTTTGTGGATCGAACGCCACGCTACGTTTAAACATGATGTGATGTGAGCAGGTGCTGTGTGACTCTGTTACGAAGAGAAGACTGGGACTGAGCAGAGGCACGTTTTTCTTTCCAGGATGGGCTCCTTCTTCGCCCCCAGCCTCCCAGGCATCAATATCCTTCGACTCCACACATCCATGTACTTCCAGTGCTGGGCCGTGATGTGTTGCAACGTCCCTGAGGCCAGGGTCTTCAAAGCTTCCAGATCGAATAACTTCTACCTGGGCATGCTACTGCTCATCCTCTTCCTGTCCACCATGCCCGTCCTGTACATGATCGTGTCGCTGCCGCCATCTTTTGACTGTGGCCCCTTCAGGTTCTGGCCTTTGAAAATGCTATTTTCTTCCAGGCGTGGAACCAGGAATAGTCTCTCCTATGAGTTTTGTTTCCCCCTGCCCCGCCCCCTCCCCGCCAACAGCGGCATTTTGGTCTGTAGAAATGTGGTTCTTTGGGCAGTCAGGCTCATGAGGTAACATGGAGATTCTTAGGCAAGTCCCTCGATTTTCTTACTTGGGAATCATAAAAGGGAAGATGATTTGTGTGCACCCGGGCTCTACCTGGGTAAAATATGGACAATAAATCAGAGCCATAAGAGGGTAGCAAAGAGCAAGGTTTAATGATTATGCTTGTGGGGATGTGAAAATTTTCCTGATGGTAGGCCACCACGTCCAAAAATCAGAAGTTATTGCTAGGTCATGCCCAATAGGATATAATTAATTAAAAGTAGATTATTGCACAAGCTATGTAGAAATGGGATCATTATTAGATAATTATGAATATAAAGTGGGTCACACATTTTATAATCCATAATGCTACATGCCAGTAAAACATTGAGGATAATGTGCAGCACGTATAATCTCTCAAAATAACAAGGATAAATCGTTCACATCAGTAATGAAAAGTCAGTAAGTCTCTCTGATCCAAACTGAAATGGACTTTTTCTCCAGTTCTCTATGACCAAGTTCTATCTGTGACACTTATCAAGGAAACAAAGTCCCTGGGATATGAGGAACTGAGATTTCATTCCCTAAATAGGGCCTTAGAAATGAATCTACCAAAAAAAAAAAAAAAAAGAAAGAAAGAAAGAAATGAATCTATCATGGACACCCCCCCTCCCCGCCAGGTGGCTCAGTTGGTTAAGCGTCTGACTCTTGAATTTGGCTCAGGTGATCTCAGGGTGGTAAGTTAGAGCTCTGCACTCATCAGGCTCCGTGCCCAGTGTGGAGCCTGCTTAAGATTCTTTCTCTCCCTCCTCTCCTCTCCCCTCTCTCTTAAAAAAAAGAAATGAAATGAACCTACCACAAGTTCCCCCAAAGAATCTCTGCCTGTTGAGTCACTGGTCAGCATGCATTTGATTTCTTTCTCCTTCCCAAGTGAAAGAAACGTGAACGTGAAAAGCCACGTGGGTGAGAGGCATGAGCCAATCTTGTTGTCAGATGCCAAGTTATTAAAGTCAAAATTTCATTGCTCACAGACTTAAGTATAAAGGCATTTTCACTCTAACAATAGTTTGAGGAGTTATTGCTTTACTGAAAAAAAAAAAAAAGGAAAATGTTAAGCCAGCTGATAGGGCAGAAACTACTAGAGTTCTGTCATACTTAGGAAGCTGATGTTGACAGATCCTGATCAGTTCCGCGCCACCCCCCCAACCCTGGGCTGAAATAAATAATGCAGACAGTGACATCTGGAGACTAAATATGAAATTGCAGTCTTGAAGAAGAGCTTGGTCTTAATAAATGTCTAATGAATCTCAGGGTATAAAGTTCACCAGATAAGCCGTTCAAAGACTTCCGTTAATTGCAAATTACCCATGCAAGTGAATATCCACGTTGAGTTTTAGATATGCTTTTAACTTTCTAGTTGCAAGTCGATCTTTCTCAGAAAAATATATCAAACGAAGGGAAACCCCACGAGGTCCACATGGAGCTGGATGGAACAAGTAGGTTCCTGTGAAAGATAGCATTGAGCTAGACCTGTACCATGACCACACAATTTTAGCCTTTTGAGCCTAACTCCTCTGCCTCTCTTTATATCACACACAGTTACTATGAACTTAATGAAAAAAAGATGAGATTGTATCAAAGGCATACTCTCTGATTTTGACCAAGTGTTTTCCAGTTGGCAAACGTAGGCAAAATTTCTGCGTATGTATTGAGATTCTGAGATCAGGAAAATTTTACATATTTTCAGTAGCATGTCAGGAAAGGGGTATTTCTATTTTACTTAAATAGTCTATTTCTCTTGTCAGTTTCCTCATTTAGGAGCAAAAAAAAAGTATGCTTTGTTGCTTTGTTTGGACTTAAATGTTTAAAAGGCTTGCTCTGCCCAGAAACTAGGAATGAGGTGAGAAAACATGCATTAATAGGAGCCTCACGGCTTGGCCATCCTAGGGATCCTGAGTTTGGGGTGGTTTGCTCAGCCTGTCTAGTTTGACCCTATGTGGCAGCTGGGTGGGCAGCAAACATGCGTTTGAGGTAGGTTAATGGGTGGCCCCACAAGGGACACAGTGATGGCTAATCCCTCCCAGGTACAGGTATGTTTTCTTCAGGTAAGTTGGCTCCATACCTTGGAAGAAGACCCATTCTGTAAAGCAATTTGATGAGGTATTCTAGCTTGTTGTGGTTTCCTGAGAGCTGATTAAAGAGTGTGAATTTTCCAGAAGATTATTCCAATACACTGTTAAGTGGATTTACCTTAAACAGTTCAGCAAGGTAAAAACTATTTATTTGGTGTCCCAATTAAGAAAAAAATTCTCTAATTGCTCTACCATATTGGCTGACATGATGTTTCTCCCCCAGCCCCTTGCTAATAATTCTGAACAATTTCTAATTCTCTAGGTTCTCAGTTCTCTCCATGTCAGTATCACCGTAATTATGTTTGTATGTATTTTCATCTTACTGCAAAGGTATTGTGTGTTTATCCTAGAAAACCTGGAAACTATAGAAACATTTCTGCACGAAAATAAACACTGCTCATAACCCCAAAGATTACCAACTGAAATAAGAACTCTCAACATTTCGGCATGTTGTGTTCTGGTTTTCATTTTATGCAGCTTTTAAAAATAACAGATCGTACAATAAGTGCAGATTTATATTGTATCGTGACACTTTCATATTTATATTTACTTCTGTTTTACATTGTGGTACTGCTATTCTATTATTTATTTGCTATTATACTTTATGTGTGTGTGTTTCTTTTAATAGTGTTGCTGGCTTCTTGAGGTTGGGGATAGAATATTTTCAACTATGTGAGTCTAAACACAGTAGAGTGTTGGCCGGTAATTTGAAGTAATGAAAGAATAACGACGGCTTATGCATTAAGCATTAGAGGAAATGTAGGAGTAAACTGGACACTGATTCTGGTCCTGGAAGCTCTCGGTCCACTGGCAAGACTGGTCTGCTCATAGAATCCTAATGTAGGGTGGATGGAGCTATGCCCGTAGGAACTTATGTACAGTGTCATTTCATCCGACCACAGAGTCCAGCAGACTGAAAAGGGCTTCTGGGGATATTGGGATGTGGCACACTTTGGCTAAACTGTCAGAAAAAAAGGATTTTTAGGGATCAGTAGTTGCTTCTTTAGTTTGTATAGAAGTCAGAGATCTGGACTCCCATTAAGATGCAGGACCAGGGGACGCCTGGGTGGCTCAGTTGGTTAAGCAGCTGCCTTCGGCTCAGGTCA